ACAGAGCCCCCTCCTCTTTTCCGTACCCCCCCAACTCCTGGCTCTGCCTGCTCGAGAGGAACTCTCTGCACCGGGCGGCAGAGGGGGAGGTGCAGGGGGTGTGTGGCGGGAGGGCGGCCTGGCTGAAGCTCCTCCTGGAGGGGACCGGACGGAGGACACAGTTTGCATTCCTCTGCAGCCCTGGAAGGGGTTAAACCCGTGTGATCGGCACCTCCCTCCAACCACGGACCTCGACGGGACGTCTGATTGCGCAGCCGCGCGTTATTTTGCTCTGGCGCAAACAGCCACGCTTCCCCCCCGCATTTTCCGGCCCGTGCCAGTTGCTGCACCGCTTCTCCCGGCTGTTGCTTATCCAAAACCTTCCCTGCTTGCCCTCCCCCCCTCCCCGGACACGCATGCGCTCGCACAGAGCCCCCTCCTCTTTTCCGTACCCCCCCAACTCCTGGCTCTGCCTGCTCGAGAGGAACTCTCTGCACCGGGCGGCAGAGGGGGAGGTGCAGGGGGTGTGTGGCGGGAGGGCGGCCTGGCTGAAGCTCCTCCTGGAGGGGACCGGACGGAGGACACAGTTTGCATTCCTCTGCAGCCCTGGAAGGGGTTAAACCCGTGTGATCGGCACCTCCCTCCAACCACGGACCTCGACGGGACGTCTGATTGCGCAGCCGCGCGTTATTTTGCTCTGGCGCAAACAGCCACGCTTCCCCCCCACATTTTCCGGCCCGTGTGACCAGAGCCATAGTTACCTTTTTAAAAAAATAAATAAATAAAATGGGCTAATAACTGCTACTCGCCAGCAATGCTCTCTCTAAGCTGCGGAGTCTTGTGAGCAAAAAGTCTACCTTGTGAGCTGCTGGCATTAAAGTTTTGAGCGAGTGATTTGGCTACTGTATAAATTAGTTTGCTCTGGAGCCCTCCTTCCTGAGCGAAGACAAAAATGTGTGAGCCGGAGGCTAAAAACCTGTGAGCTAGCGCACGCTAACTCAGCTTAGAAGGAACACTGCTTTCCAGTCCTTAGGGATTCTCCCTGTTTGGTCAGTTAATGTTAATAGGGATGCCAAAACCAGTACCCACCATTCTGCATTCTTTCTCATCAGCTCTGGAAGGATTAAATCAAGACCTGGTGCTTTGCCAGGCTTCAGGGTGTTGATCAGCTGTTTCACCTCCGAGTGATCTACAGGGGGCCGGTTTGTAAGATTGTCAATTTCCCTAGCATTAGAAGATCTTGTGATTATTTCCTTATACAAATCCCTAAACTGGGTTTCCCAGGTCCCAGGAGAGATAGGATTGCCCAAAATATTTACAGGCTGGTCCAAAAGACCAGAGGCCAGTCTTCAAAACCGTGCTGAGTTCTGATTAACATATCAGCTTTAGTGGGAAAATGTTCCGGGTCAGAAGGCATTGTCTCCATACTGAATTGAGTCCTGGCCAGTGTCCCCTCTAGGCAGAGTTAGTGTGAGCTAGCTCACAGATTTTAAGACTCCAGCTCACACATTTTTGTCTTAGCTCGGGAAAGATGGCTCCAGAGCAAACTTAACTGACGCAGCAGCCAAATCTCTCGCTCACAACTTTAATGCCAGCAGCTCACAAAGTAGAATTTTGGCTCACAAGATCCCACAGCTTAGAGGGAGCATTGCAGTGTCCCCTCTAAGCAGAGTTAGTGTGAGCTAGCTCACAGATTTTAAGACTCCGGCTCACACATTTTTGTCTTAGCTCGGGAAAGATGGCTCCAGAGCAAACTAACTGACGCAGCAGCCAAATCTCTCGCTAACAACTTTAATGCCAGCAGCTCACAAAGTAGAATATTGGCTCACAAGACTCCACAGTTTAGAGGGAGCATTGATCCTGCGACCTCCTTCTCTAGGCTCAATATTGTTTCCCTTAGTTGGCCGGCAGAGGAGCGTTGTTAATCCACATGGGTGTGTGGACATATTACCGGACTTTTCCCAGGAATGCGGAGGGCTCTTTCCATGGGACGTTAACACGTCGCAAGGTCAGCCAAAGCCAACCCAGAAAGCCCTTCTTGGGGGCCTGAGCTATTCCAAACTCTGTGCCTCCCCCCCCCTCCCCGCTCCTGAGCTGTGCACAATGGAGCTTTCAGAGTGGCTGGCCGCACACAGCTGCATCTGTAGCAAAACTTCATAAACACCCGATGTGTAAAAATATGATCCACCTCCAGCTCCACCACAGAGGCCCTGGCCAATGGGGAGGGGAGGCGGTTCCCACAGACACATGGAGGCGCGGCGGCCTAACAGATGGGGCCGGGGGGGGGGGGGCGCCTTCCACAGGCACCAAAAGTGCCATTTCTGAACAGTTTTGGTCTGTTTTTCCTGTTGTTCTTTTTCCCACTGAGCCTGGTGTGGGATGGCCCAGGGAAGGGGGGCGTGGGCTAGTGTTCCCTCTAAGCTGAGCTAGCTCACAGCTTTTTAGCCTCCGGCTCACACATTTTTGTCTTAGTTCAGGAAGGAGGGGGCTCCAGAGCAAACAAATGTATGCAGTTGCCAAATCGCTCACTCACAACTTTAATGCCAGAAGCTCACAAAGTAGAATTTTTGCTCACAAGACTCCACAGCTTAGCGGGAACATTGGCGTGGGCTGTCGTGTGCGTTTAGGGGACTTAATTCTCTCTCTCACACACGGCGGGAAGTCGCTTTTCACAGATGAAGTCCCCCTGGCGACTGAGAGGGGCTGTGAGCTTGGCGCTGACAGCAGTTCTGTCATCTGCTTGAGTGGTGTCCAATTCTAGTTTGGCAGACCCTGCTTCACCAATAGCTGCCGCGGGCTTAACTGACTGCTCCCCCCCACCCCACCTTCCTCCCAGCACCCATTTGAGAAGCAGCCCAGATGTGCCACAAGAGGCAGGCAGCGGTTAGACGGTGCAGTATGAGCAAGGAGCCGGAGCTCCCCTCCCCACCCCCTGCCTCGCCCAGCTCCTGCACCAACCAGCACCAATCTCCCCTCTCACCCCCCTCCCCAGCAGAGCAGTCTACTTCTTGAGCAGAATAGAACTGCTGTGATCTGCAAATGGGCAACGGGCAGTGCAAGACCCTGCACGGCTCCGGACTGCTCCTGAGCAGGGCTTCCTGTCTTAACTAGAGGCCTCTCGCCTGGGAACACTAAGGGAGGCTTCTCTTCCCCATAGTTCCTGCCTCGGCAGCATCCCAGAGCTGCAAAATGAAGCGGAGCTTGGGGGGGGGGGGGGGTCCACCAGTGGTGTCTTTGCATTCCCCCCAGTTCTTTGCTGTGGTTCAGGAGCGAGAGGGCTCAGCGGAGCTTTGGGGAACTTGGGGCCGGAGGTGCTGGTGTTCAGAGTGGCACTGAAGAGACAGGGGAGAGAACCTTTTGCGGCTTTGTTGTGCTGGTGGGCTGTGAAAGGCCGTGTTTGTTCCTTTCTGCTCCTACATTCACACAATCGAATTCTGAGGCAGAAGATGAGAGGTGGTCTCCTCCAGTGGCCCCCCTGCTTCCCCAGCCTCCGGGGAAGGCCCAGCCTGTGTTCTGGGGGCCCTCAAGAAGCAAACACATGTATCATGCGAGGACGGGATCTGCCGGAAAGCCTAGCCCAGTGGTGGCGAACCTATGGCACGGGTGCCAGTGGTGGCACTCAGAGCCCTCTCTGTGGGCATGCGTGCCATCGCCCCAGCCAGGACCAGACCATCATTAAAGTGTCGAATTCTCTGCCAAATAATTTTAAGCAAATGAAAGCATTTGGGATTGCTTTCCTTACTTTGTTTGGATCATCTTAAGCTAATGTATGAGTTGCTTTTTTCTAAAGTAAAACCTCCGTATTCAGGTTAAATGGCCGTGTTGGCACTTTGCGATAAATAAGTGGGTTTTGGGTCGTAGTTTGGGCACGCGGTCTCTAAAAGGTTCGCCATCACTGGCCTAGCCTCTCGCTCCCCCCTCCTCTTACAAGTGGTCCCGCTCCTCGTGTTTGGAACAGCGGTGTTCCCTCGGGAACAGCAACCTGCTTCTTGGAAGAGGGGCTGGTTCAAACTGGGCCGTGCCAGATCTCAGCAGGCCGGGCTCCTGCACCGCCAAGTGCAGAGGCCTGGGGCAGGGGTAGCCTCTGTCCAGCTGTGATGGAATGCAACAGGAACTGCTCACACCACCGGCTGGTCTGACTGCCATGTGCCTGGCCTCCTCAGGTTGTAGAAATGGGGGGGGGGAGGCTGGTGAGGTCCACAAGAGGGACAAGACTGTGCCTGACTTCTCTTGCATAAGGAGGCCAGGTGTGGTGTCAGCTGATCCACCCTGACACAAATGCAGGGAGAGCATTCGGGAGAGATCCACTAGCTTGACTTTGATTGTACCGAAAGCAGGGGTCATTTCCTGCGGGAGCGCACAGGAGCAGAGCTCCGGCAGTAAAGAGCCCAGGGGGCGGGCACATGCAACAAACCCCACCCCCTGCTCCCAGCAGCCCTCAGTCAGAGCAAGAAACAGCCAGGTAAGCTGCAGAGCCCCCCCCCGGGCCCCTGGTCCAAAACAGTCCAGTGGCACCTTTAAGTTTTATTCAGGTACAAGCTCTCCCTCCTCTGCCAGGACAGATCTGCACGTCCCCCCCCCCCAATGGCTAGCAATCCAAAACAGCCCAGGGGACTTTTGTGGGTGTTGCTTTCTGACAAACTTCCGGTGATGTCAGGGGGCGTGGCATATGCAAATGAGTTATGCTAATGAGCTCCTGCACCTCTTTTCCTACGAAATGACCCCTGACCGAAAGGGATGTGTTGCCTCCAAATCTTACAGTGTTCTTAGATGCAAGGATTTCTTTTTAAGAAGAACAAAAGCAGGGCGTAACATTTGGGAGGGTGACACGGGTGCCTTAAAAGCATCAACTGTAAAAATGTCCCTCAAAACTACATTTTGAAATTCAGATTAAACCAACGCATTTCAAAATCTGAAATTCTAAAGCTATCGTTGAGCCTTAAGTGAAAATGTCAATTTGGCTGCTGCATCCAAACAATTCCTTCTTCTTTTCCACATGCCCTTCTCTCCCCCCCCCCCAGACACGGAAGTTGTCCAAGGTGGAGAGGCAGCGCTTCAGTGAGGAAGTGGAGATGCTGAAAGGGCTCCAGCACCCCAACATCGTCCGCTTCTACGACTCCTGGAAGTCCTCTGTCAAGGGGCAGGTCTGCATTGTGCTGGTCACGGAGCTCATGACTTCAGGCACCCTCAAAACGTGAGCGCGGGGCAGGGGTTTTTTTTGGGGGGGTGGGAGGCTGGCCTTGGGGCTGTGTCCTTGGGGAGGACATTCCTGCAGGGAGGGGCTCTGAGAGCCAGTGAGTGTCCAGGGATCTGTGGGCAGGGCACCTCTTTGCTTGGGCCAAGAAAAATGGTTTATGGGTGAGGACCGCTGTCCCTTCCTGAAAACACCTCCGGGCTGAACAGGACATTACACGCCAATGCCTGTGACAGATTCCCCACCAGTTGCTATTTCGAAGCCTTGCTGCTTGCCTTGTGTCGTGACCTGGGGTGTCCCCTGGCCTTGGAGGAACACTCGCCGAGTTGGCTGAGTGCTTAGGAGGGAAGCGAGAGCCTCCGTTTCGTCACTCCCCAAGTCCCTCCCTCGGGGTTGACAGCCGCCTCTCCGCCTCTCTCTAGCTTGCCTAGCCAGTCACCTCCGATATCCTCCCTGACTCTCCTTGCTTCCCTCCTTTTATCCTCCCCGCGTCCCTCGGTAACACCCCCTTTTCCTTCCCAGTCCTCTTACTGCTTCCTTAACCTGCCCGTCACCCCTTCTATCATCCCTATTGTTTGTTTGTCTCCTTCCTCGGGGTCGACAGCCAGGGCCGGCTCACTCACTAGGCGAACTAGGCAATCGCCTAGAGCGGGACGGCCCTTAGGGGCGCCAAACTGCACGTGGCCCCGTACTCTGGGAGTTTCTTGATTATTTGTGTTTTTCATTCTTCCTAAAATGCATTTATTTTTGAAAATGGGAGGGGTCGCGGGGGGGGGGCGGCGCCAGAAGGGATCCTCGCCTAGGGTGCAAAATAAGCTGGGGCCGGTCCTGTCGACAGCCGCGTCTCCATCTCTCTCTAGCTTGCCTAGCCAGTCGCCTCCGATATCCTCCCTGACTCTCCTTGCTTCCGACCTTTTATCCTCCCCGCGTCCCTCGGTTACACCCCCTATGAAGGACCCTTCTCAGTTAAAGGGAACCTCAGGCGCCCAAACCTTTCCCGACAGGTACGAAAGAATGGCACCAATAGCGGGGTTTAAAAATGAAATAAGAGGAACGATTTATTCTTAATGAAAGGCAGGGAAATGGGGGAAAGGTTTTATGAGAGCAAACAGTTGGCAACCAACAAGGGCCCGCTACAAACACCATAAACAATGTTTAGGCTTTCCCAAACTCAGGAAGAACTAATAAAAATTATAAACCCTATCAGAAGGTTCCTTACAGTAAGCAGGCAGTTGTGATACTAGTGAATTCATACCACCAATAAACCAGGGCTCCCCTGATTAGGCTCTGAATCTCAACTAGTCCCTGTGTGAGTGGATGTCTGTCTCTTTTTTTAACCTGGGGCTGACCTGTTACTCTGGCCAATCCCTTCAGCAGAGTCTGCTCTGCCCCTCTCTCTGGGACATCCTGCCACTGTCTCCCAGACTGAGCGTTTTCTCTCCGAAGGCAGCCACTCAAAAGGCCCCCTCCTCCATTAAATTCTCTCTCTCTCCAAAAAGACCCCCTCCAACCCCCCTTCCAACTGTCAGCTCCCCCCCCCACCCCCCCGCTGGATGCTTCCGTTG